TCCATGGCCACTGCCCACTACCCATGGCCACTGCCCATGGCCACTGCCCACGGCCACAGCCCAGGCACTGCCCACGGCCACTGCCCATGGCCACAGCCTAGGCACTGCCCATGGCCACTGCCCACAGCCCAGGCACTGCCCACGGCCACTGCCCATGGCCACAGCCTAGGCACTGCCCATGGCCACTGCCCACAGCCCAGGCACTGCCCACGGCCACTGCCCAGGCACTGCCCACGGCCACTGTCCAGGCACTGCCCACGGCCGGCCACGGCTGCCCATGGCCACTGCCCACAGCCCAGGCACTGCCCACGGCCACTGTCCAGGCACTGCCCACGGCCACTGTCCAGGCACTGCCCACAGCCACTATCCAGGCATTGCCCATGGCCACTGCACACAGCCACTGCCCACGGCGGGAGCACGAGGGGCAGCGGGGCTCGGCCTCAGAAGCAGCGAGAGGCAGGGCAGGAGGCTGAGGAGACAAGGGTGTGGCCAGACTGACGTACTGGGGCGAGGGCAGAGTGGGGTTCCCACAGGCCGTTAAGCCGGTGTGTGTCCCCCTAGCAGCTGCGGGCTCCTCTCAGGGGATCACGGGGGGGAAATGCATGGACCCAGGAGCCTAGCCGGTGCCTCTGGGTCTCCTCCGGGCGAGTGTTCCAAGGACCACAGGCTCCGTGACTTTCTGCCTTAAGGGAAGGGATCTGGAAGCGGCTGGGCGGGTGCGAGGAGATGGCAGGTCCTGCCGTCTGTCCCAGTCCAGGTGCCCTGTGCATCCTCAGCGCTGGGCTCCGAGCCCAGGGAATGCCCGGGACTGAGGAAGGCCAATCAGCCGCGCCTTCCTCAGGAGAAACCTGAGCTTGTGAGTTCCCTATTCATTCTAAATAATGTCACCCATTTCCTGTAACTCTTGCTCTCCCTAAATCTCTCCCTCTCCGCGCCCCCCCCCCCTACCTCTCTCTCTCTCAAACACACACACACCTTCATATGTAGGTTGTAAAATATATGTTATTACACCAAAAATAGTTCCTTCCCACCTGGATTCCCATGCACATTTCTTCAGGCATAAATTTTCTATAAATTACAGCTTCCTTTTGCTGTCATGTTTTATCTGTGCATTTTTAGTAAAAAGAAACAACTTTCCCCCTTCAAGGCTGAAAGGGTTAAAGAGACTAAAACGGGGCAGAGAAAGACTTACTGTGCTTAGCAGGTATCTTGCAGGAAGCTTGCAGCCTTGAGCACAGCACAGCTCAGGTAACCAGAAGACACCTGGCATGGGAGGAACCAAGGATGGACTAGACCAGTGATGGCGAACCTATGACACACGTGTCAGAGGTGACACGTGAACTCATTTTTTTGGGTTGATTTTTCTTTGTTAAATGGCATTTAAATATATAAAATAAATATCAAAAATATAAGTCTTTGTTTTACTATGGTTGCAAATACCAAAAAATATTTCTATATGTGACACGGCACCAGAGTTAAGTTAGGGTTTTTCAAAATGTTGACACGCCGAGCTCAAAAGGTTCACCATCACTGGACCAGACCCTTATGTCAGCAGAGCAGCTTTCAGCCAGCAAGGATTAATAAAAACCTCTCTTCCTGCTCTCTTCACTGACGCCTTTCTCGGTCTCAGCCCCCCTGCACCCAGGTGTTGGTAATAAAATCTCTTTGGATACATTATGGCCTCATGTCACAGGTGTGTGACCCCAGCCCACTCCAGACCTTTCAAAGGCCCAGATTGTTCTCTGCCCCGCCTGCTACCCCCTCTGTGGGCTCCACACAAGCCAATTGCCACACACACAGATTCTTGCCCCCAAAGGGAAAAGATTTTCTTCTGACAAATGAGCTTGAGGAAATCTCTGATCTTATAATTGTATAATGATTATACTTCAATTAACATTTGAGGAACCCACTATGTCAAAATACCAAGACAGGATTAACTCACTAAAATTGTATTAAGGAAAAGCTATCATCATTTTAAAAAGTTAACACCAAGATTATACAACCTGCTCTCCCTCCACATCCTAAACCCTAGAATTTGAAAAAAGACACATTTTGGATAAATAAATTTTTCTTTTATCTGTACTGACCAAGAGCTAAAATTAAGAAAATATATTTTGTTTTGAGATTCCACCTAAGTTACTGTTCAGGGGCTTTGTCACATATAAAACCGTGAAACACTGGAAGTCCCATTTTACAGATTAGAAAACGGAGGCTCAAAATAGCCAAATGCTTTGCTCCAGTTTCAAAACTGTGACAGTGAAGGAATGTATTATACCCAGGTCTCCTCCCACCAGTTGGAGAAATTATTCCAAAGACAAAAAGAACATGAAAGCTAATCTAAGGAATAGTTATCTGGTAAAAAGAGGAATAAAAGTCCTCACAACAAAAATAAGACTTTTAGATGGCTGTTAGTATTGACTTTACTGTTTGCTAAAAGAATACATTAGCTTGTAAAATAACCAAAACACTATCTTGGAAAACTCTGAATTCTTCCATGAGAAACTGTGCATAAGCAAGCTTTCTGAAGAGCTGATTCTAACATGTTTATGTTCTTACTAGAGGCCAGTGCATGAATTCGTGCACCAGTGGGGTCCCTCGGCCTGGCATGCAGGATCGGGCGGAAACCAGCTCTCTGACATTCTCTGAGGAGGGTGCAGGCCAGGCTGAGGGACCCCAACTGGTGCATGATTGGGGTCAGGGAGGGTCACGGGAGTTTGGCCAGTTGAGGAGGGATTGCAGGAGGGTTCCAGGGTGTGTCTGGCCCGATCAGCTGGACCCCAGCAGCAAGCTAACCTACCGGTCGGAGTGTCTGCCCCGTGGTGGTCAGTGCACATCATAGTGACTGGTCGACTAGTCAACTGTCTGCCTCCTGGTGGTCAGTGCATGTCATAGCGAGCAATTGAGTGGCCTTAGCATATAATTAGCATGTTACGCTTTGATTGGTTGAACAGATGACTGGACACTTAGCATATTAGGCTTTTATTATATTGGATATTTTAAGTTTTTATACAAAAATCTTTTAGGAATGTGTCAAATCTTTTTTTTATTTAGACCATCAAACATCCTTTAGAGCTGGGGACTGGCAGAGAGTCAGTGTGAGTGTCAGTTCCAGCCATCAGTGCCAGTGACCACCTCCTGGGCTGCGGGACCCGAGCTCCCAGCGCCCTCACCACCCAGCATCCCAGCATCAGTGGCTGTCTTCTCCGTTGTCCTTAGTTTCACAACGGCTTTGCTTCCTCTCGTGGTGTCAATGGTCACCCCTAGTTTTAACTCCTCTGTACCCATTCTTTCTGCAGATTCTACTATGACTTGAGATAGCAAACTTTATGCATAGAGCTGCTTCTAGCAAAGCTACCATTTTCAGTTTGCTAGGAACTGTGTGCGTCATAACCTATTTCAACCTTTTTAATCCTTACACAATGCTATGAATTAGGCATTTTGTCCACTTTATAGGTGAAGACACTGGGGCTCAAATAGTTTGTCCAAGTATTGACACCAAGTGAACGGTGGAGGCAGGGTTGAGACAGGCCCACACCATGTGGAGGTGGAACAGGGTTGAGAGAGGCTCACAACACATGGAGGTGGAGGCGGAGCTGAGAGAGC